ACAGGGTTGCGTGAGGTCTCACCAGGGCTGTACAGGTGGGTGCCGGGCTCCAGGGCTGTACAGGTGGGTGCCGGGCTCCAGGGCTGTACAAGCAGCTGTGGGGCTGTCCAGTGCTGTGCAAGTCTCTGCAGGAAGGAGGAGATGTGTGGCCGGAATAGCGATGTCAAAGACAGCTGCAAAAATGCAAAGAGCTAGTATCGGCCTTTAGTATCGGCCTTTAGTATCAGGGCATTTTCATGAGTACAAGTGCCCGTGAAAATGCCCTGCATCAGCCCTGAAACTGATACTAGTATCGGGATCGGGACACCCCAGTCTTTACCAAACTGTGACCACAAGGCTGGAAGAGCACAATTGTCTACAATGTCTTTGTATGGTGGAGGATCACCAGAACCTTCACTGGAGACGCCGGAACTGAACGTGGGGTCTATACCTAATGTTCCAGACAAATGAATATATTTATTGGACTTGATGATGATGGATGTTTGTACTCGGCACTCCCAACCTCACACCCGGAAGCTGTTCTCCTGCTGGCCGATCTGACGATTGTGATCAGAGAGGCAGCATCTGAGGCCGAGATCCGTGTAGTGACCGCGACAGTGAACTAAACCCCCGGATAGGAAGACGCCCTTTATATCTCATCCATACGAAATCATCTCCACTCATATCGGTCCAGTGCTGTCACACCATAGACCATGCCATGCAGATACAAAATCCACTTGGAGCGACCAAAATAATGATCAACAAAAGGTGTTAAATCTGATCATCCAGCACCAACAAATCACAAGTCCATCACCAAGCCATCACCCGTCCATCACCAACCATCACCCGTCCATCACCAACCATTACCCGTCCATCACCAACCCATCACCAATCCATCACCAACCCATCACCTGACCATCACCTGACCATCACCTGACCATCACCCGTCCATCACCAACCCAGCACATGCCCAACATCCACCCAGCACCAACCATCACCCGTCTATCACCCATCCATCACCCGTCCATCACCTGACCATCACCCGACCATCACCAACCCATCCATCACCAACCCATCACCCGTCCATCACCCATCCATCACCCGTCCATCACCCATCCATCACCCATCCATCACCCATCCATCACCCATCCATCACCCATCCATCACCCATCCATCACCCGCCCATCACCAATCCATCACCTGACCATCACCAATCCATCACCGGCCCATTACCAACCCATCACCGGCCCAACATCCACCCAGCACCAACCATCACCCGTCCATCACCCGTCCATCACCCGTCCATCACCCGTCCATCACCCGTCCATCACCCGTCCATCACCCGTCCATCACCCGACCATCACCCGACCATCACCCGACCATCACCCGACCATCACCCGACCATCACCCGACCATCACCTGACCATCACCCGTCCATCACCAACCCAGCACATGCCCAACATCCAACCAGCACCAACCATCACCGGCCCATTACCCACTCAGCATCCATCACGCACCAAGCACCCACCCAGCACCTGCCCAACATCCACCCAGCACCAACCATCAACAGCCTATGACCCACTCAGCATCCGTCCATCCCCTTCCCATCACCCACCAAACATCCGTCCATTACCTTCTCATCACCCTCCCATCATCCTCTTCCCATCATCCCACCGAGCATCCGCCATGACCCTCCCATCTCCCACCCAGTATCTGTTCCGGTCACCGTCATCACCAGAAAATCCAAACTGTTACAGGTGTCACCAGAACAGGAAGTCAGGGGAAATCTTCCAGCGGGGACACCTGTTACAGTAACAAATGCCGTGGATGGAAAGTCCCACCACTTTGGAGAGATTTTGTATCATTTTCTGTTGACAGGAAGTGAAGGAAAATCTCTCCAACAACACAGACAGAAAGAGATTGAACCCTTACCTCCATGGGTACATGTATGAAGACTTCCTGTTTTGCCTGACAAATATAAACCAGCTCGGAGAAGGTCCAGAATGGCCAGAATTCTGCGCAGGGGGTCGGCCATTGGGTCCCGGGCAATAAACAATGAGGTCCCAGGAGGGGCCCGGAGTGCGCACATCCCCCAACTTCTGGCTACATGAGAATCTACTTTGCAACATTCGCGTATCACACAGAGGACGGAATATACCGAGAACACCCCAAAGATCCAACACAGAACCCCTGACCCCCGGGAGATCGTATTATTATTATACAGC